CGGCTACATCCATTAGCATCCTCGGTAGAAGTAGCAAAGCACAATGGTTCACTGTCCTGGCTTAATTCAGGGACAGATTTTGGCCTGTCTAGGAAAATGGTGGCACGTTCTTCAAAGTGACTTCCATAAATATTATTTTTGCACAATTGAGCTTCTGCTAGCAAGTGAGCTCGCTGTTCCCTGTCAGATAGCTGCAGTGCAAATATTTCAAGCGGCCTGTTATGTGTGAAGGCGTGTGCTTTTAAAGACAGCTGAGCCTTAGGGTGGGATTGTCGCCCGGAGAGATCTGACAAAAGACACATGTGTTAATAGAAGGCGTCTCATGTCCACACGGAGATGGACAGAGATGGATTCTTTTCAAGAAGTTTTGAGCCGGCTCTAGTGGACAGACAGGAAAAGCGTATCAAAGCCCTAACCCCATATATGCAGCCCAAAGTATAGAAAGAAATTAAATGACCTGTGATTGGAATCTGGCTTTGCTGATGGCTAGCTTTGCATGCTTAGAAAAAAGTGTTAATACCTCTAGATTTCAGTTTCTTCTTCTGGAAAAGAGATAATAAAAATACTTTAAATGCCTTACAGGTGGGGGGCGAGCATCGAATGCAATTGCTCATAGGAAAGTTTTGTAAATGATGCACTTTTGTGTCAAAGTTCTCACTGATAACAGCAAGCAAAGGATGAGAAAGTATTTCCAACAGGAAACTGAAATTTCTGTGTGGGCTTTTTTTGAAAGGACTCAGAGCCCATCCAGCATTTATGGTGATATTATTCCTTTTTTGGACTTTAAAAAGCACTTAAAATTTTCATCATTATTTTTTGCTGAATTTCTACTTAATTGCTGCTTCTGCAGCTAATTTTTTGCTCTACGTTCATTTCCATATCATCCGCAATTAATATTTACGGACTGTTTTGCTTGGATAGCTTAGATAACACATGATACATAAAAGAGTGAAGCCCTTCTTTGCAAAAACATGAAGCAGGAATATTTATTTTCTGCTGTTTTATTTTAGGTATTTGAATCTCCTCCCTTTCTACAAATAAAGAGAATGTGACATTAGACACTATGGCATTTGATTTCCCAAAGCTAAATCCTGTCTTGCTTAAGTCACTCTTATATGCTCAAAAATAATTCCAATTTTAGTGCTACTTCTTTCATCATATAAGAGAGTCCCATCGTTATTTCTTCTTTGTTTTTCAGTCCCTGTTATGAATTCCACTTCGCTACTTCCCTATTCATTACATTCTTGCACCTCACTGGGTTAATAAATTCTTTTGACACCTACTGCCCCTCCTTCCCCCCTCCCTCCCTTGCTGTGTCTCCTAAGAATGGTGTCCATCAATATTGCATGCCAGGGGTGTGCTTGGTGAGCACAGGCCTGACAGTGCCCCAGCCCAGCAGGGAGTCGTCTTCTCCCTTCTGTTCCAAGTCAGTGACAGCCCAACCCCTCCTCCCTCCTGCCTCAAGCAGTCACCACTAACTCCAGATGGAGAGATGGATGTTTCCAATCCCCAACTATAATGCAACAGCCACTTGAAACGGATGCCACTCTGGTCTCCTTCCTTAAAAGTTTAATACTTACTTTTCAAGGTACACGTGTAACTAAAAGGCAAGAGTCGTGCTCAGAAAAAAAAAAAAAAAATGCAATCGTTGCTTTTTTTCTTTTCCTCTCCGGGAAGGAAAAGTAGAATTAAGCAATAACAAAGCCACTGCTAAAGGCAGATGGTGTAATATTAACTATGATGTAATGAAATCGGAACTTCATGAATGTTGTAAGAGAATAAATTTTAGACTGGAAGGAGGAGAAGAAACTGGGTTAAAAGGAAATGACAACCAATGAGGTAAAGGGAATGAGAATGAGGTCTCAAGCTGCTGCCAAGAACCCTGTGATTCCAAATCCAAGTACATTCCCCAGTATCTAGATAACTTTAGATTTAGTAGAGAAATTGTGTTGTTATTCGGTGAGATTAGAGATGATATTACCAGGTGAAAAGCAAGTAAAAATTGTTTTGGTCTGTCAAATAGGAAGAAAGAAAAGCCATAGGTTGGTGAGATCCTAGTGCAGTTTTAGAATAAGAGAGGAAGCAGGGATAGCCGAGAATTATTCAGGGGAAAATATGCCAAATTTTAAATGAGTTATTAAAACTGACAATTGTCAACTGTGAGAGCTTGGAGATTTGAACTTGCTTGTGAGCCACCAAGTTAGCTGCCACAAGGTTATGATGCCGCTTACACAAGACACAAGACTTTTGGGTCAGAAACAAAGGACCTATTATTACAGCAATAGCGCTATATGGAGTATCATCATTTTTATGTCAGTTTCCCGAGCTCCAGTTCAGAAGTGGTGACACAAATAGGGTCATATGACAGCTACACACTCAGTAGCTATGTTCCAGAAAAAGACCTTCAGATTAGGGAGCCTGGGTCTTTTATAACGAGAAGTAGACATGCCTGCCCTTTGCTCCGGAAGTAGACATGCCTGCCCTTTGCTCCGGAAGTAGACACCATCTTAACTTCCAAGGTGATTCCCATACAAGCATCCTTGCAAAGACAGTCAGGAATGTGAAGAAACATGAGAAATCCGTGGAGAATTATCTTCCCACAATATTAACCCTTTGCACTCTGATGTCGAGTGTGACTCCACACGCTTAGCAAAAATTATAGAGATTAAAATTACTCTTTGAATGTATTCAATAATTTGAAATATAAAAAAATCCAAATAAGTTTGTATGTAAAAGAAACTCCAGTTTTTTATTCTACTGCCGCGCTTTGTAAAATCTGGGGTATTTAAAAAACTAAATCCCGAGTAGAATAAAGAAATCAAGAAAAAAGCAAGCGAGTGCAAAGGGTTAAAAATAATAGCTGCTATAATTCATTGAGTGTTGGATAAGGGTAAGCATAGATACAAACTAATTTCTAGATTATGCAATAATATATAAACTGTAGATAAAGACTAGAGAAAAATCAATGTCAAGTGGTCATTGCCATTATAAAAGAATTTGATATGTCCCTTGTAATAGTCATGTGAATGAGATGGAAAGATAACTGGACAATGTCCATTTTAATGGATTAATGTTTGGTTGAATTAAGTCACTTTAAGTGTTGATGTCAAACTGGAAATTGGTTTCAAGTATTATCCTTAAAAAGGCCCCTGCCTTTGCCCTATTCTTCTGTTACAGTGTTATCAATGGTTGGAATGAGAACATACATGGCAGGCATATCAGATATATGGAGGATAAAAGACAGGAAGAGATAGGCAGTATTTGGAGAAAAGACATAGCAGTAAGACACAGAGGGCCTAAAATTTACCCTGAAATAGTTAAGGTGAAATTAGAAAGTGAAACACAAATTTCTGTACCTGGGTTTAAAAGCCATCATTACAACCATAAAACTATACAGGCTTAGTTTAAGAGCCTTTCATGTTAGGAATAATACTAAGAGTGATTAGCTTTAACAAATTTCTTAACCCCCTTGGGGCTTCATTGCTTCATTCTGTAAAGGAGATGATGAACCATACCATCCCCATCTTCCCATATAACTGGAGCCTGCTAAATAATATTTATAAGTAATTACTTGATCGAGAATAATCCAAAGCAACAATTTTGTGAGGCATGCAAAAAAACTACATACTCCACATCAAAGAAAATGGTAGCCTTGCTCTGCTGGCTACTTGAGTATTGAGTTCAAGATGTTCCCACTTTAAGGAGGACATTGAAACACTGAATAGTATCTGTATGAAAATGAAGGTGGAAACATAGGAAGAGCTCTCTGGAAATTATGCTTTTCTAGCTGAAGTTGCAAAAACTGAGGATGTTTGGTCTGTAATAAAGAAGACTTCAAAGACACCATAACAGTCTCCAAATAGGTGAAACGCAATGGGATAGAACAAAAGGGAAAGGATGTATGGAAAGAAATTTCAGGAAGGCAGATTGTGTGCATTCTAAGTAAGAATACATTGTGTAAATTTGATTTAATAATGAGGTAGCCTTTCAGTGGTCTGTAATTCTGGATTAGTCTAGAACACCAACCAGATGTCGGCCATATTGTAGAGAGGCTCTGGTGTTGTGTGGAGGTTGACAAACTCCGAGGGCTCTTCTAAAGTTGTGTGAGTCCACGATTTTGAAAGCTGTGCTATCCTGAGAGAATAGTTGGGGTTTTGTTGTTGAGAAAGAATTAGTTTTTGTCTCAGCACTAACTAGCGCTTGTCAGGGGAGAGACTTTGGACATTCTGCTCAACACCACTGGGACTCCTTCCTCACAAACCAGCTGATGGGTTGAGTTATTTATCCGTTTTCTTGTTGATTGTCATCTCATTAGGGAAAACATTCAAGGCAATTAAAAGATATGAAAATAAGGAATTTGGGTCTTTGAGGTTCTTTCTGCCGAGATTCTCTGAGCATGAAGGATACAAGTCAAGAGACCTCATTTTCAATAGCTGTGGAAATACAGTTCTGTATTCTTTCTGGTCATTTCCGAAAGAACGAATCGGCTGTCCTAGCCTGAATTATTTCTGAAAGTCATTTGGACTAAGTTTAGCTCTAGGGTGTCCTCATTCTGAAGGGAATTTTTTTTTAAGTATTTTTCAAGTTAGGTCCTAAAATCACAAAAGTATTTAAAACCCTGTGAGACCGATGGGCAAGTATTATCAGAAAGGCTGGTTATGTAACTTCACAAGGACTCTTCCTTCTCATGCCATCCTAGAAGTATCTGCATATCAATTCAGAGGAAGCTACCAAAGGCAGACATGTGTCTGAAGGAAGGGTATCAAAGAGATGCTGGTGAATTTATCGTTATCATGAAGGCTTCCCATCTTGAAAGATCAAAATCTTTGATATAAAGAGCATTTACTTCTGCCTCACCACCCCCCACACCAAACCCCAAAAAACATCTCCAAGAGAAAACAACTGGAATTATTTGTGTCCTGTTAGATCTCAGATCTTGAGTGCATTGTGTATAAATACTACGGAAATATCGCTGACACCATTCTCTGGTCTCCCACCAGGCCACCCATGGAAGAGTGTCAGACACTCTTGACCCCGGTGGTGAGCTGCGGGCCCCCCGGAGCCCTGCTGACCCGCCCCGTCATCGTCACCATGCGCCACTGTGCGGACCCCAACACCGAGGACTGGAAGATCCAGCTGAAGACCCAGGGGGCACAGGGACAGTGGGAGGTGAGCTTTTCTGGTGGGGTTAGAGATGAAATGCACAAGCAAGCCATGTGGACAAGCAGGAGCGATTATGGGAAACCTTCTACTTATAAAGCAAAACATGGATGGGATTTTGGCTCACACTCAAAATGAGAGCGAGAAAGAGACAGATGGACAGACAGACAAATTCCTGGGTGGCTTATCTTCTCATTGATAGGCACAAAGAAAATGGTGCTCAGGCATTAACTTTTTAAGAGCATTTGAGAGTCTTAGACAAGCCCCTTTTGGAATAGAGTTGGAATATAGACACTGTGCATTGAGAAGGGACACATACAAATATTCTTTTAATTTGCAGGTAGGGAAATGTCACACTTGGGTCAGAAAATTCCAGGCACTTACCTGCAGAGATGTCCCTAGGATATAGTTCTTGCGAATTTAATCTGGGAAAACAGAAAGGATGGATCTCCAAAGTGCCACTAGAAGAAGTAAGCAAATGTGTGGCATCTTGGCTGTCTGTGGCTGTTGCCATCATCACTCCTAAGGACAGTGGCTTCAGCCAGCCCCACCCCATTCCTTACATCAGAACCTTTCGCTCAGAACCTGTATCTGGAGAATGTGTTTATCAAAAAATATCAAGTAACTAACAAAACCCAGACTATTAATTGATATTTATATAAAATTTTAAATATATAAACTATGAAGTTATACTACACAAAGTATATTGATATAGTTCATGATTACTTATGGCATTGTCTTTGGAAAAAATGTTTAAGAAAGATATATATGAGAATTCTAGCTCTTAATATTTTAGGGAAGCATGGTATTAAAGTTAGAAGAGTAGCAGGGCAGCCCTGGGATTCTCTGAGATCCTTTCCTTCCCATGGACGTGCTCTGGCCTTGGCCATATGAGGGGACGAGGGGACCACGCCTTGTCACAGTGTACATAATAAACAAGCGAATGTGCTATATGTTAAGAGCAGACTTAACCAGATCTAACTTTAATTCCATGTAAGCTTTAAATGACTGATCTGGAAAACACCTCAAAGTCTTCATCTCACGTGATCCCAAATTGTTTACATGATTCTCTGCGTGAGACCCTAATACTCTGGGTTTGGAGTAATAAGAACAACAACAATGAACTTGACACATGAGGCGAGTAGAAGGGTATGGAAACAGCCTTACGCTCATGAGTGACTGGGACATGGCATCTTCATTCTTGTCCGTATCTTCTAGAGGGCTTCTTGTCACATGTCATCACTAGGTGACACTTGGGGTCTTCCTTTGTCCTGCTGGAAAAAGTAGCTTCTGTTGTCCAGGTGTTCGTTGGGGGCAGGAATAAAACTGGGGGTGCTGAGCTTCTTTCTCTCTTTTCCTTTTCAGTTTGAGCTTCCTTTTGGGGGGTACAGGTTCAGATGAAGAAATGATCTCACTGCTGCTGTGAAAACACAGCTCTGGTTCCAGCTCAGAAGAGACAACCACCTAGGTGGCTCCTTGTCATGTTCTGCCCTCACATGTCTCTGTCACCTGGCTGCCCCAGGATGTGCTGGCTATTATAACCCTTAGTAAATGAACCCTACACTTGGTCTTTCAGATTATCATTCATTCTGTGGCCTGAGCCATTTGGATACATCAAAACCCGGTTGAATGAGCAACTATTTTTACAAAAACCATCCCTTCCCCTTATTTGCATTTTTTGCTAAAGATTTTCAACATCTAAAAGAGTCACTGTTTTAATGGCTTCCATGAGAAATAACATGGAAACATGTCTTAAAGGCATGAAGTTTGCCATATCTCATTTTCCATAGAGTGTGACAACCGAGACTATTTAGGAAAAGCAGTGTATTGCTTTGGGAAGTATCGGGTGAGATTTGGAAGACCATAGTAGAACTGCAAAACAATGTGTCATTGCACAATTCCTTAATTTCTCTAATTCTTTACAAACGTGTAGATTTTTAGGGAAAATGTAGGTTTTTTGGAAGATGGGAAAATGCTAATAAAAAGGGCATCTAAGTGAAGAATGTTGTTAGTATAAAGACAGTGGCGGAAAGGAAGATGAGGAAGAGGAGGAAGGGAAGTGGTTGATCATAAAGTCTGAGAAAGAGAAAAGGCCAGGAAAAGGAGAGGGCCTTTTCTACCCGCCGCCATTCACCACCGTCCATGGTGGCCGCCATGTGATCTCGGTGGCTTAGCTGTGGCCGCTTCCCTCTCGGCCCCCAGGACGTGGTGGTGGTCGGAGAGGAGAACTTCACCACCCCATGCTACGTTCAGTTGGACGCGGAGGCCTGTCACATCCTCACCGAGAGCCTCAGCACCTACACCCTGGTCGGGCAGGCCACCACCAAAGCCGCCGCCAAGCGCCTCAAGCTGGCCATCTTCGGGCCCCTGTGCTGCTCCTCCCTGGAGTACAGCGTCCGTGTCTACTGCCTGGACGACACCCAGGATGCCCTGAAGGTGAGTAAGTGACCCCACCCTGACTGTCCCCTCCACCCTGACTGTCCCCTCCACCTTCACCTGGAAGCCATGATTTGGTGACACACCGCGTCCACCTGGAAACATGTCTCTGTCCGCGTGCATGCACCCCAGCATGTGGACACACACACACACACACACGTGTGTGTCCCCAAAGGGTACAGTTTGCAAACCAGAACAGACACCTTCCTGAGGCCACTCTGATCTATGAGCCATCTCCTTTTGCTGATTCCTCCCATGGGCTGCTTGGTTTCCCTTCCTTGATTTCTTTTAATGAAAAATTTAGAAGAATCTGGCAGCCAGACGCGTGGATGGTAAATAATCTATTTGCATGTTTGTCTCAGCTGCGTCCTTCCCATAAAAGGAACGGGCACAGTTGCCCGCGCTGTATGTCCCTCCCGTGGGCAGCTTCGTTTATAGCTCCCCATTCTTTTTACGACGGCTGCGAGGGGGACAGCGTTGGGGTCTGGCGACAGACGGCTGCTTCTCGGGATGAACGAGCTTCATTCCTGGCGTGACGATTGCCATTCGTTCGATCCCATTGGAAGCTTTAAGGGATAGAGCTAGTGCCTTTGAAGATCTTACGATCTGGAAGGAGAAATGAAAAAAGCATGCTAAGGATGCAAAGGCAGGTCAGGGGGTGACCCCTACCAAGCCGAGAGATGCAGAGTTTTATGGGAATTTGGGAGAGGGAGGCATGCTATTATTTTGGGGGAAATTGGAAATGGAGCTCCCATTTGATATTGGCCCGGATGGAAGGAAGGTCTTTGACCAGCAATAGTAAGGGAAAGAATCCTAAGTGTCAGCACATGGAAACAGGATGAAGAAATACATGATTGCAAAAAATAAATAAATATTCTTTGTAGACACGTTATTTTCCTGGAATGGCAGCAAAACATTTTATTGGGATGGATCTTGAGTGCCAGAGAGAGGAGCTGACATTCTGTTTATTGAGTTAATGGAGATCCGAAAGGTTCAAACAGAAGAAAGACATGATCGGAAATATAGGTTAGAGATATGAGTCTGACTTCAGTGAAAAGACAGAGCCAGGGCACGAAGGAATGTGTCGCAGGGCAGGGACTGGGTGACAGAGGAGTGAGATGAAGGGACAGGCGTGGAAGGTCCTGTTCAAGTAGCCTCCAGGGGACCTGGTGACGAGCATGGGGTGGGTGGAAGAGGTCAGGTTTCTGCCTCTGAATAAGAGTGGCAAACTTGGGGGCTTTGGGGTGTAGAGGTGGCACCTACCTGCCTTGGCCAGTTCAGGCTGTGATAACAAAGTCCCCATGGGTTGTGTGGCTTAAATAGCAAACGTTTATTTCCCACGGCCATGGAGGACGGGAGGTCACAGATCAAGGTGCCAGCATGGTTGGGCTCTGGTGACGTCCCCCTTCTAGGTGGCAGACTGCCACTTCTCTGTCCTCACTTGGGGCAGGGGAGAGGCCTGGTGAGCTCTCTAAGGTCCCTTTTATAAGGTCACCAAGTCTGTTCCTGGGAATGCCACCTGCATGACCTGTGTACCTCCCAGAGTCCCCACCTCCTCGTACTGTCCCACTAGTGTGGGGTTTGGATTGCGACACAGGAATTTGAGGGGGACACAGACATTCAGTCCACAGCAGCGCCTTTGCCTTTTCTTTGTAATACCGAATTAGAGGTACGAATGGGCTTCTAGAAAAGACGCCCAAGAGACTGTTGGAAATACGGTGTCACCAGGAAACAGACTTTGAGCTATTCAGGAACCAATATTACATCGCTGTTTGTCATCCGAGGTGATCAGGGAAGAAGATCAAGAATGAGTAGAGGGAGAAAATAATCGTGGAAATAATAATCATTTACTGAGACCTTCCTATGTGCCAGGGAAAATTATAAATATTTTATATTAAACCATTTAATCTTCGCAGCCGTATCAGATGCCATTATCGCCACTTTGCAGGAGTGCCACGCGAGGCAGCCAGCGCTGCAGCAAGTTGCTCTGGGTCGAGCAGCTACGAGTGGAGAAAGTGGCTTGGTGCCCGCAGGTGGCCGCAGTCTGGGCATCCTGCTCCCCAGCTGGGTGGCTTGTAAAGCCCCACCCTAGAGCCTGGGACCACCCTAGAGCCCGGGGACCAGCCTAGAGCCCGGGGACCAGCCTAGAGCCAGGGACCAGCCTAGAGCCCAGGGACCAGCCTAGAGCCCGGGGACCAGCCTAGAGCCAGGGACCAGCCTAGAGCCCGGGGACCAGCCTAGAGCCCAGGGACCAGCCTAGAGCCCGGGGACCAGCCTAGAGCCCGGGGACCAGCCTAGAGCCCGGGGACCAGCCTAGAGCCCGGGGACCAGCCTAGAGCCCGGGGACCACCCTAGAGCCCGGGGACCAGCCTAGAGCCCGGGGACCACCCTAGAGCCCGGGGACCACCCTAGAGCCCAGGGACCAGCCTAGAGCCCAGGGACCAGCCTAGAGCCCAGGGACCACCCTAGAGCCCAAGGATCACCCTAGAGCCCAAGAACCACTCTAGAGCCCAGGGACCACCCTAGAGCCAGGGACCACCTTAGAGCCCAGGTACCAGCCTAGAGCCAGGGACCAGCCTAGAGCCAGGGACCACCCTAGAGCCAGGGACCACCCTAGAGCCAGGGACCACCCGAGAGCCCAGGGACCACCCGAGAGCCCAGGGACCACCCGAGAGCCCAGGGACCACCCTAGAGCCAGGGACCACCCTAGAGCCAGTGACCACCCTAGAGCCCAGGGACCACCCTAGAGCCAGGCACCACCCTAGAGCCCAGGGACCACCCTAGAGCCCAGGGACCACCCTAGAGCCCAGGGACCAGCCTAGAGCCGGGGACCAGCCTAGAGCCCGGGGACCACCCTAGAGCCCGGGGACCAGCCTAGAGCCCGGGGACCAGCCTAGAGCCCAGGGACCAGCCTAGAGCCCGGGGACCAGCCTAGAGCCAGGGACCAGCCTAGAGCCCAGGGACCAGCCTAGAGCCCGGCACCAGCCTAGAGCCCAGGCACCAGCCTAGAGCCAGGGACCAGCCTAGAGCCCAGGGACCAGCCTAGAGCCCAGGGACCAGCCTAGAGCCCAGGGACCAGCCTAGAGCCAGGGAACCACCCTAGAGCCCAGGGACCACCCTAGAGCCCAGGGACCACCCTAGAGCCAGGGACCAGCCTAGAGCCCAGGGACCAGCCTAGAGCCAGGGACCAGCCTAGAGCCCAGGGACCAGCCTAGAGCCCAGGGACCAGCCTAGAACCGGGGACCACCCTAGAACCGGGGACCACCCTAGAACCGGGGACCACCCTAGAGCCCAGGGACCACCCTAGAGCCGGGGACCAGCCTAGAGCCCGGGGACCAGCCTAGAGCCCGGGGACCACCCTAGAGCCCAGGGACCACCCTAGAGCCCAGGGACCACCCAAGAGCCAGGGTCCACCATGGACAGCCCTGCCACCACCAGGGAGGGGCCTGCGCAGCCATCAAAGGACCTGAGAAGGTCGAGAACCCAGAGGAGGGAATAGAAGTTGTGGAAAAAAAATGAGTCAAGCGAAGGAGGCTAGGCGCGGTGGCTCACGCCTGTCATCCTAGCACTCTGGGAGGCCGAGGTAGGAGGATCGCTCAAGGTCAGGAGTTCGAAACCAGCCTGAGCAAGAGTGAGACCCCTATCTCTACTAAAAATAGAAAGAAATTAATTGGCCAACTAAAAATATATAGGAAAAAAATATTAGCAGGGCATGGTGGCGCATGCCTGTAGTCCCAGCTACTCAGGAGGCTGAGGCAGGAGGATTGCTTGAGCCTGAGAGTTTGATGTTGCTGTGAGCTAGGCTGACACCACGGCACTCTAGCCCAGGCAACAGAGTGAGACTCTATCTCAAAAAAAATAAAAATAAAAAAAAAATAAAAATCCTGGCAGTGACTACCATCGTAGGAGACAAGGCTGACTGAGAGTGGAATTCTTTTATACCTTTCAGGATGGTTTAGATTGTTTTTTTCTTTTCCCTGTGCATGTGGACCAGTGGGAGCGAGGCTCAAGTTGAGTTCACAGAAAAGATAAAGATGCTAACAATTGTGAGGATAGTTTGGAATCAGCTCAAATAGAGAGGTCAAGTGTATTGAAAAGGTTGAGTTTGGTATATCAGAGCTTTTCTTTTTCCCTCCTCTTTTGGTGATTAAAGTAATAAAAATGGTGTTTTCCTTTCATTATTTGCAAAGACTTAAATCCTAGTATAAACAGACCGAAATTAATAGAGAGCAAGGCTATGTTTGGAGTAAGTTTAAAAACACTCAGCGAGAAACATACATCTATGTGGAAATAAGTAATTTTTGCCCTGCTGTCCAAAGGGCATAGAATACCCTTCATAATAAAGGGATGAGTATTGAACGATGAGATTCAGAACCTAACAGAGGAATTCTTTGCATATAATGTGGGCAGTGTGTGATGTTTGTTGAATTTCTAACAGATAAATATGTGCTGTAAACCAAATAATGTGTGTTAGCATAACCTGGATTTCTTTACGGAATCATTTAGCATGAAGATCTTCCTGGAATTCATTGACTTTTCACGTTCCTAATCTAGGCTGTGGTATAGTATAGTATAGTATATTAAATATGTGAAAGTTCATATTATGTGAAAATATAAGATGGAAAGAAACACTGAAAGGTGGAGTATAAGAAAGTAGGTTGGATGCAGTCCATTTGGAATTGTGTGATACTTTCTTGGGATACACGTGAGAGGCCAGGAGCTGGAGACCAGACTGAGCTGAGCCACAAGTGAGGTCCTGTCTCTACAAAAAATTAAAAAACTAGCCGGGCATGGTGACACGCACCCGTAGTCCCAGCTACTCGGGAGGCTGAGGCAGGAGGATCGCTTGAGCCCAGGAGTTTGAGGTTGCTGTGAGCTAGGCTGACACCATGGCACTCTAGCCTGGGAGAAAGAGCAAGACTCTTGTCCTATAAGTAAACAAATAAATGATTCAAGGGAGGAGGTAGCTTGATTTTCATCCTGCCACCTGTCACCTTGCC